CTTTGCTACCTGTGGAGTCCAGCTTGGGTTGGGGTCTCTTCACGCCTCTCCTTTTAGCAGTAGGGACATCAGCCAGCTGTGATACCTCACCTTCATCTCCTGCATTGAAAACACATGACAACAGGATGTGTTTCTAACTCATTCTGTTGGCAGCGTGGCAAACTTCAAGCTTATCTTTAAATCCAGACAAATTATAGACTGGAGGTTACAGAAGAAATGTGCTGGTTTGAACAGTATCTGATAGGTTTCATTTGCTCACGCAAACAAAACATGTGTGTTGTTATTGTTAGAAACATCCAGTCTCAGAGAGATGCTGAAAAACCAGTTCATGCATTTGTTAATTCTAGGCTGAACTAACAAATTCATTATTATCAAGCTGTTCCAAAAGCTTTGTGGAAGGACTATGAGAGGTTGTATTTCTCCCACATTAGCCTTTTTTCCTGAATCTTATTTTTCTATGATTCTTCATTAAACCATGAATTTAAAATACAAAGTTCTGAATCATCACATCTTAAAGACCTCATAGTAATCCTGTAAGAGCACAGCAGCATCTACCATCTGCAAAAGGGTCTCCTTCCTCCTGGCCTCCCCGGCCTGGGGAGTGTGGTGGTGGGAGTGGGGGAAAGCTTCATCCTCTATGCCGTCATAGTCAGGAATGTCCTGCGGGCTATTTTCCTGTGGGTCAACCATGGTGAGTCGGTCCTGGAGACAAAGTAAAAGACGTGTGAGCCCCAGTCGTCAACAGCATCAGCATTAAGTTACATGAATTTAACTGCAAGTTGAAAAAATGACATTTATTTCTGTAAGAGTAATTCTTTACTGTGTTACAACATCAACATGAAAACCTAAAAAAAACTGGCATTTACTTTTTTCTTTTTTTACATCAACAGGAGGAGCTGTACAGACACTCATCCCACCTGGAATTATACCCCAAATTCAGAAATGTACTATTATGATACATTAATGGTCCATTATGTTTGTTTCACAGTTATATACATAATACAATTTATAGATTTGTATATATTTACATTCTATCAGGGATGAACTGGTTGTGAACCTTTGGGCTGATAATGACATTTAAAAGTTACAATTTGGATGAATTATTACTGCGATACTTCTTTTGGACTCTGTAGTACCACAGAAATATCATTAAAGTAACAGGTTTGTTTTAAAGTCTTTCAGCTGTTCCGTAAGCATCATCGTCATCATCATTTATATAGCACTTTAAAAACACACCTGGCAGACCGAAGTGCTGCACAATACAAATGTAGTAATAAAATAGCAAAAAACAAACATAGCAATAAAGTAAACTCTTGAGCCAAAATGATGTGACACAACTAGGGCTGCCACAAACGATTATTTTGATAGTCGACTAGTCACCGATTATTTATGCGATTAGTCGACTAATCAGATCATCATCCACTGGACGTAAAACTACAGCTTATTGCACCATGCAGCATATGCTCTTATATAACTATCATTAGCTTATAGCTTTAAGCTTTTAAGGTGCTAACTAAAAATAAAGACAAGATGATAGTTTATTCAATTTTAATGAAATTTGCAGATTGTTTCGGTGAAGTTTAATAAACTCCTTGCTATCTAAAATATAACAGGACAACGGAGTATATTCTCCAGCATCTCACACTTCTGATAATCAGCTGTCTGCTTGACGTTTATTCAGCTGTGTAAAAACTATAACTTTAATCTCAGACAAACCGATTTACTCAGGAACAAATAAAATACTAAAAAAAAAAAAGCCAAACAACAACATTTTTAATTTATCTAAGTGACTCATATATATTTAACCTGAGTAGCGAAAGACGGCGGTGGGTTTGAAAACAATTTGCCTGGAGTCTGGTGTTCTCACCGTGCTAGTGACCTAGCCCCCGGCTAGCTATCGAGCTAGTGGGTAACAGACGACTCTGAAAACGTCGGAGCGCTTTTGAAAATATGTGGTGTCCTGATAAACTGAGCCGATATTTGAGGTTTACACAGCTACATTCTCGGCTGAAAATATGTTAAACGTTTATTTTGTGACCCAGAAAGAATAATAAGAGTAATATTAAAACTAACTAGCTGCCGCCATTGTTGGAAACTGAGCTGGGCCGCGCTATGAATTCTGGGACACAGCTGCTTCTTCTTCTTCTTCTTCTTCTTCTTCTTCTTCTTCGGGGTTTAACAGCAGCTGGCATCCTTGTACATGCAGTGCTGCCATCTTCTGTTTCAGTCCGTTATTACACTCTTAAATCCTGCTACTTATTCCTGCGTCTTTTGGGATCTTACAAAGCTTCAAACGACGCGTCGACTATTAAATCAGTCGTCGACGATTTTGATAGTCGACGTAATCGTGACTAGTCGACAAATCGTGGCAGCCCTAGACACAACACAGACACAAAAGGAAATCTTCTACATTGTTTTGCTGTTCACACAAGTTCTAATGCTACCCTTTGTTTCTGGAAGGAGACGATTTTCTGTCCAGTATTAAAGTTCAAAGAACAGGGTATCCGTCTCCAGTGGGCTGCTAAACAAGTTTACCAGAAAAATCAGACCCACGGTCATGTTGTGTCACTTTGAGTGATTAGTCAGCAGCAATAACAGGGAATGACAAACTGACAGACTTTGGATATAAAACAAACAATTTAAACATTTAGAAGTTAAACATCTTCTCGGATTCCTTTTGCTTTTATTAATAAACAGAGAGCACGGATCCGTGCTCTCTGTTTTGTAAAGCATAATTCTTAATGGTATAATACAGAGATTTGATTTAAAAACTGTGTTTGTATCCACAGGAGATACAAGCACTGCTTCTGTTGCAGTCACGTGCACCAGTGTTGTGTTAATTGTGTCAGTGTTCATTTAAACACGTTTTTAAATCAAATGTTTATGTATACATCAAGATTAATGTTCCAAACAAATGACACTGTACAGCAAATACATACATAGACATGTGCAGCAAAAGGAATCCGAGAAGATGTTTAACTTCTAAATGTTTAAATTGTTTGTTTTATATCCAAAGTCTGTCAGTTTGTCATTCCCTGTTATTGCTGCTGACTAATCACTCAAAGTGACACAACATGACCGTGGGTCTGATTTTTCTGGTAAACTTGTTTAGCAGCCCACTGGAGACGGATACCCTGTTCTTTGAACTTTAATACTGGACAGAAAATCGTCTCCTTCCAGAAACAAAGGGTAGCATTAGAACTTGTGTGAACAGCAAAACAATGTAGAAGATTTCCTTTTGTGTCTGTGTTGTGTCTAGGGCTGCCACGATTTGTCGACTAGTCACGATTACGTCGACTATCAAAATCGTCGACGACTGATTTAATAGTCGACGCGTCGTTTGAAGCTTTGTAAGATCCCAAAAGACGCAGGAATAAGTAGCAGGATTTAAGAGTGTAATAACGGACTGAAACAGAAGATGGCAGCACTGCATGTACAAGGATGCCAGCTGCTGTTAAACCCCGAAGAAGAAGAAGAAGAAGAAGAAGAAGAAGAAGCAGCAGCTGTGTCCCAGAATTCATAGCGCGGCCCAGCTCAGTTTCCAACAATGGCGGCAGCTAGTTAGTTTTAATATTACTCTTATTATTCTTTCTGGGTCACAAAATAAACGTTTAACATATTTTCAGCCGAGAATGTAGCTGTGTAAACCTCAAATATCGGCTCAGTTTATCAGGACACCACATATTTTCAAAAGCGCTCCGACGTTTTCAGAGTCGTCTGTTACCCACTAGCTCGATAGCTAGCCGGGGGCTAGGTCACTAGCACGGTGAGAACACCAGACTCCAGGCAAATTGTTTTCAAACCCACCGCCGTCTTTCGCTACTCAGGTTAAATATATATGAGTCACTTAGATAAATTAAAAATGTTGTTGTTTGGCTTTTTTTTTTTTTAGTATTTTATTTGTTCCTGAGTAAATCGGTTTGTCTGAGATTAAAGTTATAGTTTTTACACAGCTGAATAAACGTCAAGCAGACAGCTGATTATCAGAAGTGTGAGATGCTGGAGAATATACTCCGTTGTCCTGTTATATTTTAGATAGCAAGGAGTTTATTAAACTTCACCGAAACAATCTGCAAATTTCATTAAAATTGAATAAACTATCATCTTGTCTTTATTTTTAGTTAGCACCTTAAAAGCTTAAAGCTATAAGCTAATGATAGTTATATAAGAGCATATGCTGCATGGTGCAATAAGCTGTAGTTTTACGTCCAGTGGATGATGATCTGATTAGTCGACTAATCGCATAAATAATCGGTGACTAGTCGACTATCAAAATAATCGTTTGTGGCAGCCCTAGTTGTGTCACATCATTTTGGCTCAAGAGTTTACTTTATTGCTATGTTTGTTTTTTGCTATTTTATTACTACATTTGTATTGTGCAGCACTTCGGTCTGCCAGGTGTGTTTTTAAAGTGCTATATAAATGATGATGACGATGATGCTTACGGAACAGCTGAAAGACTTTAAAACAAACCTGTTACTTTAATGATATTTCTGTGGTACTACAGAGTCCAAAAGAAGTATCGCAGTAATAATTCATCCAAATTGTAACTTTTAAATGTCATTATCAGCCCAAAGGTTCACAACCAGTTCATCCCTGATAGAATGTAAATATATACAAATCTATAAATTGTATTATGTATATAACTGTGAAACAAACATAATGGACCATTAATGTATCATAATAGTACATTTCTGAATTTGGGGTATAATTCCAGGTGGGATGAGTGTCTGTACAGCTCCTCCTGTTGATGTAAAAAAAGAAAAAAGTAAATGCCAGTTTTTTTTAGGTTTTCATGTTGATGTTGTAACACAGTAAAGAATTACTCTTACAGAAATAAATGTCATTTTTTCAACTTGCAGTTAAATTCATGTAACTTAATGCTGATGCTGTTGACGACTGGGGCTCACACGTCTTTTACTTTGTCTCCAGGACCGACTCACCATGGTTGACCCACAGGAAAATAGCCCGCAGGACATTCCTGACTATGACGGCATAGAGGATGAAGCTTTCCCCCCACTCCCACCACCACACTCCCCAGGCCGGGGAGGCCAGGAGGAAGGAGACCCTTTTGCAGATGGTAGATGCTGCTGTGCTCTTACAGGATTACTATGAGGTCTTTAAGATGTGATGATTCAGAACTTTGTATTTTAAATTCATGGTTTAATGAAGAATCATAGAAAAATAAGATTCAGGAAAAAAGGCTAATGTGGGAGAAATACAACCTCTCATAGTCCTTCCACAAAGCTTTTTGGAACAGCTTGATAATAATGAATTTGTTAGTTCAGCCTAGAATTAACAAATGCATGAACTGGTTTTTCAGCATCTCTCTGAGACTGGATGTTTCTAACAATAACAACACACATGTTTTTGTTTGCGTGAGCAAATGAAACCTATCAGATACTGTTCAAACCAGCACATTTCTTCTGTAACCTCCAGTCTATAATTTGTCTGGATTTAAAGATAAGCTTGAAGTTTGCCACGCTGCCAACAGAATGAGTTAGAAACACATCCTGTTGTCATGTGTTTTCAATGCAGGAGATGAAGGTGAGGTATCACAGCTGGCTGATGTCCCTACTGCTAAAAGGAGAGGCGTGAAGAGACCCCAACCCAAGCTGGACTCCCACAGGTAGCAAAGACATTTATATCACGACAGAGGGTTGAAATGCATTAAAATGCGCATTTAAATAGGAATTTGATGTCATCTTGTGTGAGCTGGGACACAAGGAGGCCAAAATCATTGATTGACGTGTGCAGACTGTCAGTGTTGCAGCCAGGTTGAACACGAGTCTGTGACTGCACTGGTTTTTATCACCGTTTCACTAATAATCGTGCACAGAGGCTCAGAGACACACTGACACACAGAGTTGTTGCAAATGTTTGAAAACGTAAGTTTGTGGAAAGAACTTTGCACAAAAAAAGTGATGTGATATTATCTGAGTGGCGACACCTGTCGTTTCGCAGAGTACTGCAGCGTCTTCTTACGCTTTAGCGGCGGGTACAAATGACTGCATCTGTGTGATGATGGTGCAGCTTCACTCTGCCAGTCATTTAAAGAAGAAAGACTCTAATACCATTGTTGTTTTCATCATTTGGATGGGCAAAATTCCCAGACTGAAAATTGTCAGAGCGTTGGAGACATCCCTGGATGTGTGTGAGAAAGATGTTTCCAGTCTCTGTACACCTATAGTGTGAACCTGGTTAGTATTGCCAACCATAAGTCAGGCTCGTTCCCAGTAGTCTCCCAGTGGGTGTTCCAGTGGCACTCCTCTGTTACTGTTCTGTTCACAATGTTCCTGGACAGAACTAAGTTATACTAAATCAAAGGATGTTAAATAAGCTTTTAAGTAAGAATGTCGATTATACTTAGGATAAAACTTGCAAGCTGTATTAAAGAAAAACATAGATTTTCATTTGATAAAATATTCAAATTAATTGCAACTTTGCTATAAATATATATATATATATATATAGCAATTTTTTATTTTTTATTTTTAGATGGAGAAATTTGACTATTTCTCATTATACTGCCTTATGTACAAACAGGTAGGAAAAGAAAGGTTGTGGGCACCCTGAAAACCAAACACCCTACCCCCCCCCAACAAGCTACTGCCTTCTGAACATGGTACATCTGAAGGCACTGACATTTCCATTCAGAGGGTCTGTCTGTGTTGGCCCTGTGACAGGCTGGCGACCTGGCTGCTGGGATGGGCTTCAGCCATCCACGATCCTGAATTGGATAAGCCAAATACGCCTGGATGTGCTGCTAACCCTGCTTGTAATCCATTAATGGTTTAACTTAGTCTTAATATTTTTTCCCAGGCTGATATCAGATCGAGGGCTTCCAGCTCTGGGCACTCTCTTTGACAATATCCAGTTCAAAGGCAAAGGACACGAGGTAGGATATGATAACATCTGTCCCACCAATTACCAGATGTGAATGAACATTGGTTTTTGAGCTAAATCTGTTTGGCCTGTCAGCTTTTAATTAGATGTCCTAAATTTGGTTTGAGACTAAAAGGTCAAAAGTTGCCCTTTCTGTCGTGGTCAAAAATGAGTGAGGGGAACCAGAGGTTGGTTTACCAAATTAAGATGTCTTTTGTTCCAATGACTGGAAGTCATTTTTTAGTGGGAAGAAGAAGCGTCCTATCACACACAGCCCTCTTTCATATCACTACTCGCTGTTTTTGATGTTTGCCCCATTAGGCTGCAGACCTGCGGCTGCTGATGCAGAAGATGGAGAACTGGGCCCACAGGTTGTACCCCAAATTGCAATTTGAAGATTTTATTGACAAAGTGGAAAGGCTCGGCAGCAAAAAGGAAGTGCAGGTGAGAGGAAGCAGTAGAATATTTCCTGCAAGCGTGTGGGATTCCTAATGTTCAGAATTTGTAATTTTTTACTCATTCTTCTATAGACATGTCTTAAACGAATACGACTGGACATGCCCCTGACACATGAAGATTTTACAAGTACAGATGGTAAGAAGAAAAATCATTACTGATGGGGATACGGTGGACTAGGGCTGTGCGATATGACCAAAGTCTCATCTCCCGATATAAGAATTCTATCGTCCGATAACGATATAAATCACAGAAATGTAACATTTTCTGTCAATTCTGTGAATCTCGACTTGCGTGAAGTGTTTCCAGCTGCGCGTCATGTAGCTGGAGTCGAGTGTTTTAACCGATGCATGAAACGACACATTTTTAGACAGAAGTTGTAACGGCGCCGTTTTCTTTGTGAGTATTTATTACACGGCGTGCTGCGGGGGAAAGCCTGTTCTAACGTTTGAGTCTAAGGTTTATTTTTTAGCACCTGGCGGCTCTGTTTTACTTCTCATCCGTAAACACTCTGCTCTTTCACGTGATTCCGTTTATTTTGAAAAGCCTCAACAGGATCTTGAGCTTTATTCTGAAAGGTTTATGTGGAACATAAACAAGCGGACACGCGATGGTTTTACCGTCGTTGTTGCTAACGACAACGCATAAAAACAGGCGCTTGTCCGTCCGTAGTGTGGTTATATATAAGAGAAAGAGAGAACTTTACTACAGTGACATCAGAACCATGAAGAAATATTGCCGTAAACAGTTTATTTTGCGACACCACGAAACAAACGATAGCGTAAAATGAAATAGACGTTTTTGTATATATCGTTGTATCGAACAGCCCTACGGTGGATTCACACCTGCAGGTGCACATAGGAAATACTTGCCATATTCCACAGGACTTAATTATCAGCACTGCTTGAAATTGTGTTCAGGTGCTGGTGACGAAGAGGTACAACGTGAACTGGAAACATTTGGGGATCCTGATCTGTTCAGCAGAGAGAGTTTTATTAATGCTCCCCAAGGGCAGATTGCCGAAGCCCTCGCTCCCCCACCTACTCCCTCTCTGACCGAAGAGCAGCAGAAACGTATTGAGCTGAACAGACAGCGGGCCCTGGAAAAGAGGCGCGCACGCCAGCAGCAAATTGGTAAGAATGGCAAAAATGTATCATACAGCTGGGACACAATATAACAGAAATAATTAATGATTCTGCTACAAAACATCCAGCGAAGGTTCATAAGGATCATCTAGCTTCATTGGTGTATTAACTTTATATGAAAATACAAAAAGCAAAACATTGAATGTACAGTATATTGCCAAAAGTGTTTGCTCATCTGCCCCCACACTCATATGAACTCGAGTGACATCCCATTCACGACGTCCGCCTGTGCAGCTATATCAGCTTCAACTCTTCTGGGAGTGTTTATGGGAGTTTATGACCATTTGTAAGGTCAGACACTGATGTTGAAGGCCTGGCTCCAAATCTCTGCTCTCATTCATCCCAGTGGTGTTCTGGTCAGGACTCCCATGCCAGAGTTCATGTCTTTGTGGACCTTGCTTTGTGCACTGGTGCCCAGTCATGCTGGAACAGGAAGAAGCCATCCCCAAACTTCCCTTAAAGTCGGGAGCCAAAATGTCTTTGCATGCTGAAGCATTAAGAGTTCCTTTCACTGGAACGAAGAGACTGAGCCCAACTTCTGAAAAACAACCCCGCACCGAAATCCCCCTGCCACCAAACCTGGAGCTCTGTTGTCCTGGCAACTGCTAAATTGACTTGTCTATCGGCTTTCCAGATTGAGAACTGTGATCCGTCGCTCCATAGACTGCATCTCTCCTGTTCTAGAGTCCAGTGGCGGCGTGCTTTACACCGCTGTGTCCCATTGCTTTGCGTTGCACTCTGTGATGTAAGGCTTGGACTACAGCTGCTCGGCCATGGAAATGGATTCCACGAAGCTCTCTGTGCACTGTTCTTTAGCTAATCTGGAGACCACGTGAAGTTTGGAGCGATGGACTCCACAGAAAATTAGCAACCTCTGTGCGCCTCAGTATCCACTGACCCCCACTCTGGGATTTTACGTGATCCACCACTTGATGGCTGAGTTGCTGTCGTTCCCAAACACTTCCACTTAGTAGCAGCAGTCTGCATGCCTAGGTGCTTGATTCTATACAGCTGTGGAAGTTACTGGATCACCTGAATTCAATGATTTGGATGATGGGTGGTGAGTGAATACTCCTTACAATATAGTGAAGTGGATCTAGTGTATATATCCACCAGAAACCCTGAAGGTCGAGTGACGAGTTCCCGTATTGCACAGTTCGTCCAAACCACCAGAGATTCCTCACATTAGTGTGGAGTTTGGTAATAAGAGGCAAAGCATGTAGAAAACATTGATTTCTTTACTGCCTGTCTGATGTCAGCTTCAATTAGGCGTAGTATTTTTGTTTTTGCCTTACACTTGTGATCCAAACTGTTTTTACTTCCTCTTTAGTTAAAGCGGAGCCAGCTGTCTGCGATCTATTGTCTACAAATCTTTAACAGTGACATTAAATCGTTCTTCAGGGTCCTCATTTACCGCAGAAATGATGTAATGTGATTTAAATGAGACCCATAGAAAAGAAAATGACCTGTTGATCGGTCTCTATTATGAGCCTTCACCCATAAAAATGTGTTTACAGTTTATAACTTACTGTACATGGTGTTATTAGCACAAACACTTTAAAGCTGATCATTTAGGACTGTAACAATAATCCAGAGAGCAATGTAGTCAAACATCTCACAGTTAGTTTTATTGGGAATGAACTTTGACCTGTTAGGCCCCCAGGGCTTTTCTGAGCTTCCTGCTCGAAAATGAAGAGGCCAAAATAAATGGAGTATTTCTCTGCAATTACAAACTCTGTGTAAACAGTCTTGGTATCAAAATAAAGCTAACGCTTGTGAGCTGTCATCAGAGGGGTAAATATTACTGCAGATGTTACTATGTCAAAGTTACTGGGACTCAAACATAGAAAAAAATGATTATTTCCCTCACCTAATTTTTAAAAGTATTTTATAGCTTATATGCTATAAAATATACTTTGGGTCACATTTAACTCCAGAAAATCATAAATCAAAATATGGATGTTACCTGTCCACAGATTCATGGTGATGTAACTGCTCTTTTAACTGTTTGGTGTTTGTAGAAATGGTTTACAGCTGAGATTCAGAGGCTTCTGTGGACACTCATGTCTGCACTTATATTTCTGACCTCGTGTTATAACCGATTAAATGTGATCTCCTCTCTTTTCCCCCATTTTTGGTGGTGTGGGTGCTTAACTAGTTAAAGTACCAAACATCTGTCTCCTGTTGTTGTGTCACGTAGGAAAGAAGCATCAATATCTGATGAGCAGACTTGTTCATTTGTGCAGATTTCTTCTTTTGTGTGGTTGTTTTTTCCAAGTGGAGATGAGCATCTCTAACAAGTTGATTTGTTCACATTTGCACATCTGCATTTTTGAGAGAAATGAGTTTTTTGAGTTTGTGCACTATATGCATATAAGACAACCATTTCCTTTTTCAGTATTTTTGTGTGGTGCATTTTTCTCTGTTTTAACAAAAGAGGAACAAAGAACATTTAAGTCAACCTAAGACGATTTGTTTTAATTTTTACATGGTCTTACTGAGGTGATGCAAAGTGGAACATGCAAACTGTTTTTTTGGTAATGTGCTGGAAAAGCTTGATAATGGACCTTGAAAGTGCTTAAAGTGCTTAAATTTGACCCTGAACAATGAGTTTGAACCCTGCAGTTTACAGTTTCATTTTTCATTATCTCAGCTTTGCCTGTCTTTTATAAATCGTAGTAGACTGAGTGTGTCTGTGTTGACTGAAACCATCACTGTTTCTAATTCTCAACCCTTTCAGGCCCTTCAGCCTCTCAGACTGCTGACATGTTAGGAGACAAACCTCCAGCTGCATCCTCACCAAATGTCATCAAAGGTTCTACTGATGGAGATGAAACTGTAGAAGATCCTGACCTCGAGCCTTCCAACAACACCTCCACGCAACAAACCAGCCCGCTTCCCCCAAAGACTCTGAGCCCGCTGAGGCTGAGACCGGCCTCAGCCCTGAGCAACAGCTCAGCAACGACTGTGTAGAGGGGGATTAAAGTTCACGTGCAGCAGTTTCTGCTGAAAAGCTTTGGCAGTGAGCAGATTTAAAGGTTTCCCAATGTTCGTGCCTGCTCATTCGAGTAATGTTGTGCATTTCTGGTGGTTTATATCTTGAGCACATGTTCCTACTGTGACGTCAGCTTTGGGTTAGCAAAGACATTTATAATCAATGGAAATAAATGTTTTTCTTATTTTTAAAAGTCCAAATCCTAAACGTATTTACCATGTGTTGGTATCTGTTACAGAAAAATATTTGAACTGATCCACAGTTCCTGCTCTGATGCATCTTCTTTCTCCAGTTTCACTATTGGCAGAATTTTGGTTGCAAACATGTTTCTATAAAAGGCCTCTGTGTGTGTGTAGTATGTGAGCTGTCAACTGACCATCACCCTCTTCCAAGCATTAAGTGCTCGTTCAATTATGAACAGTTCTTTCTTAAGCTACTGCAGGGACATGAAACGCAACACGATGAAGTGGCTCCATCTGCGCTAATGAAAACACCATTTTTAATTACAGGCCACTGCACACATATTGAAATAGTTATGTACAGTTCATATTTCTGTTGGTAGTTCTAGAAAACAATCTTAAAATCCACAAACCAAAAAACGCTTCTGATTATTTACCAGTTCAAACAATAAAAATGTCCTTGGTGTTGGTGTCTTCTATACAGGCTCTTGATATACAAACTATAAGATAAATACATCCTAGTTTTATACATCACTTCCAACACAACCAACCTCAGGTGTATTTCATTACTCTACGGGTTTATTTTAAAGTCTGCTAATGAGTGACATGAAGTTTTATCAGTCCGGTGACCTGTCCAGGGCGTATCCTGCCTCTCACCCTATGACAGCTGGGACAGATTCCAGGACGTGCAGAAGAAAATGGACGAGTGGACGTTTTATCATCTCCAGAACAATACTCGTGCTGGGTTTTGTATGAAGTGGTCACAGGTAGTACAATATGTGTGAACTCACCAAAAATGGTTCTATAACACAAGACATTTAATTTACACAAGACATTGATCCCACCAGTGAGATATTGAGATCACTGGTGCTGAGAGAAAAGCCTTTTGTTACCAGACTTCTTTAACCTGCTGCAGTTGACTAGTTTCCTGCAGGATTGAACCACATTTGCAGTGAGTACTAGGTCTTGTCAAAGTAACTGCTGACACTTCACTGGCATTAACACGTTCCCTATCCTCCTTACAACTAAGTTTAACTTGATGTGATTTTAAAAACTAACTTTTACAAAACGTATCCACTGATTCGGTTTGACTCTGGTTTCTAAAAAGATGGCGGGACATGTTTTTACTTAATATTGTGTTTGCTTTCCTGTGACTTCACACACTCGTGTGGTTTGTCCACACACAATCTGGAGCTACAAGAATGACCTGGATGACTCAGCACGAGTGATCTTCAATGATCACCGTTCTGTTAGCGCACAGCGTGCAGTTCTCACAAGTGTCTGCTTGGAGGTAAAGCTGGGCTACAGCGTTTCTATGCTGTTGTTGCCGGGAGGCGTGAAGCCCTTTCCAGATCCATCAGAGCCAACTCTCTGATTTCTTCCAGAATAGAGTACAGACTGGGAGTTTTGCTCTGACGAAACTCTCTTTCCTCTTTGGAGAGTTTGGGGCGCCGGGCTGTCTTCTCCTGAGCCAGCGCCTCTTCATTCTGACGCACCACCTCTTTGACCAGCTGACTGCGGCCCTGAGGGCTGGGCTGCTGGGACTTGGCACTGTGGTGAGGCTTGTTGCTGATGACCTCGAGGTTTAGACGGTCAGCGTGGCAAGTTGAAGAGTGGACAGAAATACGAACCTGAAGAGAGCAGAGAACGTAAGTCACAGTATTCCTCAGTTCGATCACTACACAGTAATGGCACCTACTGAAAATAGTCTAATGGAATGCTATGCAAAGACAGGCCCACTTAAGGTTTGTGACGTAATATATAACAGCAGTCCTCTCAGCACTGTGCGCAGCGTCACAGCTAAGTAGACAGTGGTGTAGAGTGGAGAAGTTTCCGACTGTGCCACAATTTTGTTCATAAATAGGATAAATTGGATACGTATGTTACACACACGTATCCAATGTAACAAACGTTCATCCATCCGTACACGAACTTTCTTTACTGTGCTTTCTAACATTCACACGACGTGGAGACTGGAGCAGAGGGGGAGAAAAACATTCATTAACACTGTGACCTCGGTCAAGTGTCACAGTGAGGTTGTTGTTTTGTTGATTTGTTTGTTGAATATCATCATCATCTCTTTGTTTGATATGATCATAGCTTGACAGCAGTCAATGCTGTGGTGGACAACTTGTGTTTGGGCTAATGTTTCTTTCTATCTTGTTTTGGCCACATGTGTCATCCATCATCATCCATCAGTAAGCTATGTTGTTAGCATTGCCTTTGCCCTTTGACATTTATGACCCCAGGATAAGTCCATGAAAGAAAGAAAAGATGTTGATAACAGTGGAAGCAGCAGTACTCTGTCACTTTTTCATGTCTTAAAGCCAAAGATGTGAGAATAACACACCGTTACTTCAGTTTCTTTTTGTTAGCTAACCTTAGGGTAATGTTTCCTGCTCTTTTGCTTAAATCACATGCACTTATTCCTCACAATCATCGTGTGTAACATGCCTGAACTTAATATAACTTGACGCCAGTGATGGGCAGCAACGCATAATTAGATTACTTTTTTCAAGTAACGAGTAAAGTAAGGGATTACTGTTGCAAAAAGGTAATTAGATTACTGTTACTGTCCCGTAAACACGCTGCTCTACTGTGTTACTAAACCGTGAGTTTGTTTGCAAGAGTGTCTCATGACAATGACATAAGTGCATGCGACGTTTGTGGTAACAAACGTGTGCAGAGCAACAATGGATCATTTATCGAGTGCGAGAGAGAGAGTGCGACCGTGCAGCGTTTAAAGGCGTTTATGTGAAAACAATTACCGCCCACTGTCATTTTTTATCTCCCTTTACAAAAAGGTTTGTGTAGAAACGCCACAAACTGGAAGCATTACATTTCTTGTCTTGGAGGAGAGCCTCCCCCCCCCCACACTTATGTTTTTGTTTTCATATAATATTTAAAAACAATAAACTGAATAACTTTAAATGATTTATTTTCAGGAATCATTTTCGTCTCATTCATCTTACTGACGTTTTGTTACCTTGAGATTAGCTAACAAAGCAGCAACCACACAACACTTTATCACAACAAGATCATAAAACGTCTCTTAATGTTGGACCACAAAAGATCCAGTAGTCGTATGAACCTGTGATTCATATACACTCATGCATATATATTTGGAATCGTCGCCTTTAGGCGCTGCATTGCTGGAAACCTTCTAAAATGATTGATTAGCGTTTTCTGTGACTTACGGTGATGTGGTCAAACAGTTTGAAGGTGGAGGTGCCACAGCTGGAGGTGGTGGTAATGCGGTCCGGGTATTTTCGCACAGTGCCACCCTGCCAATCACAGCTGCCGTCCTGTCCCGCTACCACCACCAGGCCCTCTTTGTTCTTCAGATACACAGGCCCCCTCACACCATACCTGTGAACAACATGGCTGTGGTCAGAGGCAGCCTTACTTACTCAGTGATATTACTCAACCTGCTTTGCGCCCTGTGATTTTAATCATTACATGGATTCTACAGCCTTCTCAAAATGACCACAGGTTACATTTTAATAAACTGTTAATATTGCATATCCCTGTAACACCACAAGCATGGAGAACACTGATGTTATTAAATTACACTTTCCTTGCAATAAACAAGCAGCAACCTCCAGAGGTTAGCTAAGCTAACGTAGAAGTGCCACAAACACAAGGCTGGCTCCAAAGCACCGTCCCTCCCCACAGACTCAACTTCAGCAATGCAATTAACTTATTTAAAGCCTGGTAGAGAAAAGATTCGGGGTTTTAGCCGATTTTCCCTGCTCACAATAAATGTTTAAGGAATTAGTTTAGTAAATTTATACAATTTAAAACTCATTTTGAGGTTTTTTAAGAGAAAATAAAACTAGCGTGTATACTGTTAAATATACATTGATTAGCGTGCAATTACATCTTCCAACAAATTCATTCATTGTCATAAACTTTGAATTCGTCTATTAAAAATACACGAGTGGTTGGCCGTCTGTGAGCTGCTGTACAGCTCCATTAAACAAAGGAAAAGAAGAAGACTGCAGAACAAAACACAGGACTGAAGGTTCTTACTCTGGGATAAACACCAAGACACCGTTGTCTCGAATGGAGTAGACAACAGCGTCAGCCACACAGCACGGGTCTGTCTGAGGGTCTCGTTCTCTGAAAAACAGACACTGAAACAGTGCTGTGGATCGCATTTGGGCTGCCTGTGCTGCCTGCAAATGAAACACAGACGTCAGCACAGCTTCTGTTAATAGAGTAAGAGGTGAATCATTGAAAAACACAAACAATAAAACACCCCTGACCCTGTTCTTGCTGTTGACATGGTGAGCCATTTCCTCCACTTCTTTGTTACTGGCTGGTGCTTTACCAGATACAACGCCCCTCTGCATGTGCAGGGCTGCGGTAAGAAGGCGGTGCACGACAATGTCTGCGTACCGACGGATGGGTGAGGTAAAGTGTGTGTAGCGATCCAGAGCCAGACCTACGACAACGAAGCAAATATCAGCACGTTAGCCTTCTTTCTAGTTCTCAGTCGAATAATTCTTCACAAACAACAGACGTTGGACAAGTGTGTGCAGACGTGTGATGGATGGACTGACCCACAGTCACACTGAAACTCTAGTGCAGCCAATAAAAGCTGTGCAGCGGTATCGTACCATAATGGTAGTATTGGTCTTGAGGATGAGCACCAGTGGAGAAGTACAGAGCCTGTGACATAGCAGTGGTGGCCATCATTCTGAACAACCTGTTCACCAAGGGGTCCTGTGGGTCCACAGCTCGGTCCAGTGAGGCAGCTAAAGCCTTGTTGGACCTGAAGGAACAGAGCCAGAAACCAGGGATGAGTGAGGCCTCTCATCTCAGCAGTCAGTGACACAAAGCTACTTGCATCACCATGTCTCTTGTCCTGGGACCGGTTCTGCTGTTGGTTTAACCCCCCCCCCACAATCCTCCAACCGCACATTCATATTTTGTTTTCAAACTCCATTGCAGTTCATTCCACGCCTCAGATCCTCAGACCTTTTGTAAACAGTTAAACAAATAAAGTTAACTGTAATAGATTACAGGTTGTAATTAAATAAATCACTGCCTCTTTTAAAAAACAGAAAACAAACCATCTTTAATTATTTGAGTTGTTTGTTTTGTTCCCGTGTGAGAATATTCAACACTGCTCTCTGTGCAAAACGGGTTTAAAAGCATAAACAGCTGTGGGATCCTGTTTGTCCGGGATTTGAACCGGGGAACAAACTGCGGCAGGATCAGCGTTGTGCCGAGGTCGGCATCGCCGACAGCATGTGTTCCCCCTGCGTGGCGAGCGTTCGCTGGGCACGGAGTGTGGATCCAGGTTACGCCGCCTCCATTACAAACAGTCAGACGTGGAAGTAGTGATGTTTTAGTTTTGTAAAAAAGTGAAACCTGAGTGTCGTTACATTACCATTCAGTTTAAGGGTTACAACAGAAAATGAAATATTTATTGTCCTCTCGTGGTATCAGACGGGATTATTTTAACAAACGAAGGACATTTTGCCTGATAATTATATTTATCCTGTAACTTTACTGTGTAAAGAGCTAAAACCTCCAAAGTTTCAGGAGTAGTTAGTCGTTATAAGAAGTGTTTGTGAACTGAAAATCAAGAATGTGGGATCCTGTTTGTCCGTGATTTGGACAGCCCAGCGTGTGCTCCCGACGCAGGGGAAACTAATTCTGTCGGGGAGACCGACCTTGCCACGACAGCTGTTGTGAAGCTGAAGCCAAAGGCAAGATATGCTTCATCATATGTTCTAGTCTTTGGTTTGGAAGCATATTTGGCTTCAACCTCAACCTGAGCTGAAGGAACATGTCTTCTTCTTGTCTGACTGCTCATGTGACACCTGAGTGTGTCCCCGTGTTATCAAACATTTCAGGTTCACACACTTGTGTGTCTGAACATGATGTGCGTTGGACTACAATATGCATTTCCTCAGTTTCTATACTGAACAGTCAAAAACATTACCTGGTGTCAATGGTGAAACCTTTGGCCTTTGCAGTGTCCACCAGCTGGTTGAATAGCTCCTGTTGTGGTGGTGGGTGACACCTTAGAAGGGCCTGGTTGGGGAAGCTTCCTGGATCTTGCGGGCCACCAGTGGTTGGCGTAAATCATGCACTCTGCCACGGTCTCATGGACCTCCAGGGCTGACGAGGACCAGGGCCGTAATGTTCCTCTCCTCATCCAGCTGGGCACCCACCTGAAAGGGAAAATGCTTCTAACGTGACTTCAATGAAAAAGAATATGAAAATGCATCAGTGGGCCACATTTTACTACAGTTTACTTTAACTCAGTTGAACATGCACCATTCCACCGGAACAAATGCTGCACGGAGAACCAAATGTGAATGAATCTCAACCTGAAAACAGTCTACTGTCTTTCCTACGTTCAGCTCTCTATCATACCAGTAAGAACACATATCCCTAACAGGCACACAGCTCTGCTCATGGGCACAGAAACTCCACCGATCTGCTGTTCATGCTTTTTGTTTATAGTGGACAGCCAATCAGAGTTTAAGTTAGCTCAAAGGAAATGTGCCTTAAAGAGAGAACAAAACTTTTCTCAGACTAAGGATGAACTGAGGGGACCCAAAGCACTTCAGCAGGAACCAAAAGAAGCCAGAAAGTTTGGATTTGAACACAGTTTTGGCCGTTTTATATAATAGATCAAGATGAACATCTGTTGTCCTTATCCTTCAGGACAACAGATGTTTCACCAGCGGTCAATAATCCAGCTTTGTCAAGATAAGAACTTGATTTTTGGGTGGCAGCTCAATCATTAAACACACTTTTAGAAATATATGGTTTTTCCACTATCCCAGAAGCAACCCGAGAGAATCATTTTTACTTCATATCAATATTCTGTGTGCGTACAGCCATAACAGGAATGCAATAACTGAATAATAAATAAATCCAAGACATCCTATTAGAGAGCATCTTATAGAACAACAGGAATTGTCCATATGAGGTTTTAACAGATGGCCGACCAGCCGCTGTAGATAAATGGCTGTGATCTAATGTGAAAACTGTCAGTGGTTTCACAGTGGAGTGCTTGGTTTCTTTATTCCAATATTCTCACTGAAATGACTTTCTGATAAAATGTTTTCTGCTGAGGAACGTGTTCTGCTTAGACGCCTGATTTTAAAAATAACGTCTCTATTAGACCGTACTATAATTTATTATCGATGAAAAGAAATATATGGTATCCATCTGTAATTCTGTAAATAACACAGCAAAAAACCAAACTAAACATAAAGACCTGGAAGACTCCTGCGTCTAAATTCATTCAGTTATTGTACTGAGTCCTGAACATGTTAGAAATATGGTATCTTCAACACATCAGTGGAGAATCTGTTCCAGGAGTTCAAGCGAGGCTTCTTCCTGGTGTGTGAGCAGGATTTGGTGAGGCTGTTTCGACCAGAGGAGCTGCAGGGAGTGCTGGTCGGCCAGGACGTGCATGACTGGGAAAAGTTCAACAGGTACAGTCAGCCAAACAGACACAGGCTGTAGTTTCACAGCTGTCCTGTAGCACAATAACTGTGTACTGCATACTGTCAAAAGCATTCAGTCGGCTGCTTTAACACAAATATGAACTTGTGTCACATCTCAGTCTTAATCCAGACTTTTGTATGATAGTATAATATAATAGTCAGCCCACCCTTCGCAGCTATAACTGCTTCCACTCTTCTGGAAAGCTTTCCACAAGGTTTAGGTGTGTTTATGGGAATTTTTTGACTATTTTCCAGAGGTGCATTTGTGGTCAGACACTGACGTTGAGGAGAAGGCCTGGCTCACAGTTCTATCTATCACAAAGTCACTGTCAGATCCCAGTGTCTCTATGACATTGTTAACTTGTGCACTGGTGCCAGCCATGTGCACACATGCCCACACTTTACACTTGGCACAGGCAGTCAGACAAGTACTTCTGGGCAACCACCAAACCCTGACACATCCATCGGATTGCCAGTCAGAGAAGTGTGATTCGTCACTCCAGTAAACACATCTCCACTGCGTTAGAGTCCAGTGTTGAGATGCTTAATCACTCCATCTGACGCTTTGCATTGTTTGTCAGTGTAAGGCTGGGATGCAGCTGCTCAGCCTGAAACCAATGAAGTTTGGACATCTGTAACAACAGCAGACTGCAGATATTGGTGACTTAAGTGCACTATGAGCCTTAGCATCAGCTGACTCGCTGTCATTTCCAATTACTTCCACTTGTTATAATATCACTAACAGCTGATATGGATATTTAATAGCGAGGAATTTCATGACTGGACTGTGCACTGGTGCATCCTATCACATTACCATGTGGAATCATTCAGTTCTGAGAGCGACTCGTCCTTTCACACATGTTTGTAGAAGTAGTCTGCATGCCTAGGTGCTTGATTAATACACCTGTGTCCATGGAGTGATTGGAACACATTAATTGAATGATTTGGATGTGTTAGGAATATTTTGGCAACATAGTGTATGCCTGACCTTACAAACTCTATGATTATAACAGTCATTTTCACTGTTTCAGAACACAAGTTATGGTTGGAGATAATCATGACCGCCACCCCACCATACAGATGTTTTGGGAGGTATTGATGAACTAACTGAAGAGCAGAGGAAAGATTTCCTTCGTAAGTACTTGCTGAAGCCTCCATTATGATATGTTACTGAAATCACACTGTATCATATAAAACATTAGATTTTTCTGCGCTTTACCAAGATACATTAGAGAGCAGCATTGTTCTGATTAATATACTGTAAGCTGCTTCTAGCTGGTGGACTGAGCCGCCTCACCTTTCACTGGCTCACGTCACACACCTGGAGAGACTCGACCTCCACCTGTGTTGCCTCACGCGAATGATCTAGAGGCTCTGAGTCAGTTGCTACCATCACACGCCGGGACACTAATCGCATGCTCGCTGCAGCAGTCATGTGACTCGTTGTTTTTCAGTCCAGGTGCTGCCCTCTCTCACTGCACTGACCGAGCTTGATGTTCATCCAATAAGGAAGTGGGAGGTGTGGTCCACCTGCTGGTCTCCCCCTCCCTGCACACAAATGAGGAGGCTTGCCATTCAACAGCTGCTACATGAGCAACGAGTCCTTCACTGCTCTGGGTACACACACACACACACACACACACACACACACACACACACACACTGTTATTTATAGAAGTTTCCTTCAAGTCATTCTCCCTGAATACCTCTTCCACCCTCTAGCCTGAAATGGTGAAAACTTTGTGTTTATGCATCAGCCCTGGCGGTGTCCTATCTGCGCACGGTGGATATTTCCTGGTGTAAAGTGGTTGGCGGTCACTTGGCGCTCCTGCTGGATGCTCTGCAGCCATCAGTCGTCAGCGAGCTCCGTCTTTGCAGCTGCGAGCTCACCACTGATGACATGCAACATCTGGGTAACTAACACACAATGACATTATACTTTTTCTTTTTGGTCTGTAGTGGATCATTAGGCTGCATAAATGTATATTAAGACAAGTTAAGCTGAAGGAAATTGATATTTCTTTCATTATTTCATGCTGCCAGATCTGTAGCTGTCGTATAAAACAAAACAATGAAACTATTCGGTGTTATTTTGTCTCCATCAGAAACATTGTGAACAAAACAGTAAAGTGAACAGGCATAAAGTGATCAGTTATCAATGGGTCCTCTTCCTCTGTGCAGCTGCCGTGTGCAGACGGGGCTGTCTCTCCTCACTCCGTGCACTGGATCTGTCCTACAACAGCTTGGTGGGAGACAACGGTTGGTGCAGTCTGTTTGCAGCAGGAGGTCTGGGCTCTCTGGAAGACGTGGATGTCAGTTTTGCGACCTTCAACCTTCTGCTCCGTGCTCAGCCTGGCTGCCCGCTCTGCTCCGAGCTCTGCCTCAAATGCCGGGGCGCTGGCTCGACTGGCCATGCAGAGTGGACAGCTGACTGTCAGGAGGAGAGAGGCAGCTGAGGTTACTGTCTGAAAAAGAGGACGCGCCTGCTGGAAAGGGATCCAGATTACAAGACACATCATCAACATGTAAAGGGAACAGTCAGGAGAGCCTAGAAGAGAGTCAGCCTGAGGAGATTGGAGCGGACCGCACTGGAATTTACTGTCAAAGAGCGACCCACTTTGTTGCTTTATTATTATTTTTTTAAGTCTCTGTTACCACAAGAAGGTCAGTGTTGACGTCAGCTGCATCACGTCTGATGTAAACTGTGTCACACGTGATGGTTTCAGGGAATACTGGGAACTTACAGAGTTAAGCACAGCTGGTGTGGGTTATCATATTTGTCGTCTCTCACCTTGGCTGCAGGGTCTGGGTCTTTCCAATGCAGCAGTCCTAACACTTGAGACACACATGCCGAGAAGTGGGGATACCTGGAAATGGACAAAGGCTTTCAGCAGAGTTTTAAAGCAGCTATTCAGGAAAAGAGCTGTGAATTATCTGCATACCTTGTTAGGTAATCAGCTATTTTGGGGTTCTTTAACAAATCAACCAAAAGGTCGACTGAGTATTTTCGTCAGAGTACCTTCACCGTTCACGATGATGTTGAGCACAAGCTGGAGCATTTGATGGATGTTCTTTGCATCAAAGAGCTACGAGGAAATCCCAGAGATTAGAGACAGGATATTATGTGAATCAGCATGAATGTTGTTTGTTGTTCAACAGATAAAAACAAAAGAGAAAATAGAAACAAAGTAAAAAAGGAACAATTGTTTCTGCCGTTAAGAAAAAAAAATTGAGTCATGGCAGAGACCTGCAGAAGTCTTGAGTCTCATTTGATGACATTTTGTCAGATTGCCTTGTAATTTAAAAAAAACAAAACTGTTTTTTGAGCAAAAGTTCTCCAGGTTTTTTTGGAGTTCTTTCAAAGTTTTCTTATTTTTGGACGTTAGCTGCTTTTTCACTCTTTTTCAGTCCAGTCAGGGATGCAGAGGAGGAGGAGGAAGGTCCTGGACACATCAGTGCCTTATGTGCGTGGAGAGGAGAACCTGGCCGGCTGGAGGCCCAGAGGAGATAGCCTCATCCTAGAGCACCAGTGGGAGCTGGAGAAGATGGAGCAGCTGCAGGAGGTGGGCCTTAAAAGATTCATAAAGAAATAAATCTGTTTAATATCATTGAGGGAAAAATGACTTTTCAGCTCAAAGACCAAAGTGCTATTCTAAAAAGTTTTTTCTTAGAGTACAGACTTTACATGACTAACCTCCCCTCTTCTCCCCACCTCACATTCGCCCCCATCTTTCGTCCAGGTGGAAAAGACCCGTCACCTTCTGGGAGAGGCGGCTCCCGTGGGAACAGCTCCCACACAAGTCCTGAGTGAGTCTCTGTCCCCAGCGTGAGCTCCGGCACTCTGTCCACGTCCACTCCGTTCCTCGCAGATCTCCAGCACCACTTTGAAAGCGTGAGAAGGAGCTGGCCACCAAGGTGAGAAAACGTGGCTTAGTGGGCGTTCTTGTTGCTGCCTTCTTCCTCTCTGCTCGGAGCTGATCGGTCTTGTTCCTGTTGTGTTGTAGTGCCTGCGCCTTCTGACACACCTTCAATACTGAATACAAGCAGCTGGTGAACAGCATCAGTGACTGCAAGGTGAGAAATAATACAAAGAAATAAAAAAATAGCCTTTCTGTGTCACATCAGGGAGTTCCTATATTGACGTCTACCTCATCCTGCTGTTGTTTCCTTCAGCTTTCTCTCATCTCACCGATCGGACGTGATCCATCCGTGACGAGCTCAGCAGTGCCCCTCACCCTTCCTCTACCTGCTCCTCTCTGTCGGACTCCCGCTGTGGCTCCATGGGCAGAAGTAAACATATTTTTAGGAACATTGACTCGATCTGCAAACGGTTATTGACAGGTTATCTATTTGATTCTAACTTGGTGTGATTTGTGTTAAAGGACCCTGAGAACAGCTCACGTGCCTCCAGTCCCTCCTGCTCAGACTGTGAAAACTTCCCGATGGTTCCCACTCTGGAGACCTCCTACCTTGCGCGGGCTGCAAAAGAACGAGTTCCTGAACTTGGTGCCTGATATTGAAGAAATGCGACCAGGGTGAGTAATGCCATATTAACCCAAATACTGTCACTATGACATGTGTCTCACAGACCAAATGTAAGTCGACACTCATGTTCTCTAGTTCAAGCAGAAGTGATGTGGATCGATTCAAATTCCTGAGCCTGGATGATTTCAGCTGGAAACAAACCAACTCTGCTTCTTCCTCAGATAATTCAATTCAATTCAATTCAATTTTATTTATATAGCGCCAAATCACAACAAAAGTCACCTCAAGGCGCTTCATAGATACAGAGAAAAACCCAACAATCATATGACCCCTTATGAGCAAGCACTTTGGCGACAGTGGGAAGTAAAAACTCCCTTTTAACAGGAAGAAACCTCCAGCAGAACCAGGCTCAGGGAGGGGCGGGGCCATCTTCTGTGACCGGTTGGGGTGAGAGAAGGAAGACAGGATAAAAGACCTGCTGTGGAAGAGAGACAGAGGTTAATAACAGATATGATTCAATGCAGAGACGTCTATTAATACATAGTGAGTGAGAAAGGAGACTGGAAAGGAAAAACTCAATGCATCATGGGAATCCCCGGCAACTATGCAAGTTGTAAACAGTTGTAGGATTAAAGATTATTGAATGTACAGAATGATTATTTACACAGAGCTATACAGTAGTGCAGTTAAGATAAGTGAGGGTGTAGATAGTTTCTACAGAGGCTATATAAAGTGCTAGTGGTTGTGAGTGGTGGTTCACTCCATGTTATTATTGTGTGTTTGAGGGTACAGTTGTCCATTGTGGGGGTGTGTATGTTCAGTGCATGAGTTTAACGTGGGTCAGATGTCAGGAGGCAGAGTTCAGGAGTCTGACAGCTGTGGGGAAGTAGCTGTTCCGGTACCTGGTGGTCTTAGTCCGGAGGCTCCTGTGGCGCCTCCAGAGGGCAGGAGGGTGAAGAGTCCATGTGATGGGTGACTGGGGTCTTTGATGATTTTCCCAGCCCTTTTCAGACACCGCTTCCTGTAGATGTCCTTTATGGCAGGAAGTGGTGCTCCGGCGATGCGCTGGCAGTTTCACGACCCTCTGCAACGCCTTCCGGTCCGAGGCAGAGCAGTTCCGTACCAGACTGTTATACAGTTGGTCAGGATGCTCTCGATGGTGCAGCGATAGAAGTTCACCAGGATGTTGAGGACAGGTGGTTCTTCCTCAGAGTCCTCAAGAAGAAGAGGCGCTGGTGAGCCTTCTTGACAGCTTGGAGCAGTTGGTCGTCCAGGTGAGATCCTCGGAGATGTGGATCCCAGGAACTGAAGCTGCTCACACGCTCACAGCCGTCCCCTTAATGTGGATGGGTGGATGTGGGTCAGCATTCTCCTGTAGTCCACGATGAGCTCCTTGGTCTTCTCGGTGTTAAGCAGCAGGTTGTTTGTGTCGCACCACTCAGCAGACGATCCACCTCCTCCCTGTAGGGGCCTCATCGTTGTCACTGATGAGGCCAATCACCGTGGTGTCATCTGCAAACTTAATGATGGTGTTGGAACCATCAGCAGGTCTGCAGTCGTGGGTGAAGAGGGAGTAGAGGAAGGGCTCATCACACAGCCTTGTGGTACACCGGTGTTCATTGTGATGGTAGATGAGCAGCGGTTATCCAGCCGGACATGTTGGGGGCCGGTTTGGTCAGGAGTCCAGTAACCATTTGCAGATGAGGGAACTGATGCCCAGGTCTGTCAGTTTCCTGATGAGTTGTGAGGGGTGGATTGTATTGAATGCTGAACTGAAGTCTATAAACAGCATTCTGGCGTAGTGTTGTTGTTGTCCAGGTGTGAGAGGAAGAGTGCAGTGCGATGGAGGACTGCATCCTCTGTGCTCCTGTTCTGGCGGTATGCAATTGGTGGGGGTCCAGGGTGGGGGGGGACAGGATTTGAAGTGTGCTAGGACCAGCTGCTCTAAGACTTAGCTATTTACAGTTCATAACAAGAGACAAGGCACCATTTCTCTCCTTTGTGTTCCAGTCATCACAGCAGATTAAACTTTTAAAATATTGCAAATAGTATAAGAAAATATAAAGAAGTAAAACAGTAATTTATTAATACTTAGAAATACTAAAACTTACATTTGTCAGCAAAACTGCTGCCATCTGAACCGAAACGTTACAAACCAGCTTACCCACAATCTGTGTATTTTTCTATGCTGGCTACTTAAATTGGCATCCAACAAGCTATTTGCTTTAATCTTTTATTAGACAAGGCTGACTGGTTAGTTCAAGCTCAACTGCATCCAAAGGACTGAAAATGTTTTAACACAGTGACTGAACTTGATTGAAGTCTCCGTAGTTTGTTGAATCTGTTTCGAGTGATTATTTTCCAATTCCAGGAATTTTTAAAAGGCACCAAAAAGCATTACAACGCTGAGCTCGAGTCTGTGGACTTCAAAGGAAATGCAGAGGAGGCCAGGGTCCACATCAACAGCTGGGTGGAGAAGCAGACACAAGGTAAGCATAATGTAACTTTAAATGATCTCCACTGTAAATCCTTGGGGATCAGTTGTGTTGTGTTCAGTTGAGACATTATTACCGGATTGTCCACGTCCACATTATTTTCTGTTTCCAGTTCTTCCAGTCTAATTTCTATTCAGTATTAAGCAGCACTATCTCTGGGTTTTACTGTTTGGTTTCATGCTATTAATAAACCATCACAGCAGTATGTTGCTGTAATAGCAGGCCAATTCTTCTATTCTTATTATATTATGTGATGGGTACTTTCTACTTTGATCACTTGTGTCTTTAACATATTTTTATTTTTCAGGCCCATTTAGGATTGGCTGCTATTGATTCTATATCTTTTATTATCTTAAGTGCAGCAGAAATTCATTCATTGTTTTTATAAAGCGCGATACAATACAGGCCATTTATAAATCTACATCTATAATATAGGATACAAGGACTTTCTATGAGGGTTATAGGACTGTGGTGCA